TTGAAAAGCGTACATTGAATGATTTGTTTAGTTTAATAAAAGAAAGAGAAAGGAGGCCGAAATACAAAGACCTGATGAAACTGGACTTTTATAAGACCTACGCTACTGCTGGTGAGCATTCGTACTTGTCATTGGGGGTGGTTGGGGATTATGTTTCTAAATTGCTGGAACTCGACGTAAAGGATGGTGATAATTTGCAGTCTGAAACTCGGAATATCGATTTTTTTAAGTTTGGTTGAATATTTAAAGTTGTTTTAAAGACTCATTTTTGGTATATCTTTGTCCTTGTTTTCAGTAATAAGGAAAACTGCCGTTACATTGATTTGTTGGAAGTTTTCATTGAGTTTGTTACTAGCATCTCATAATATTAAGAGTTTTAAAAATGATTTGTTTTTTTGCTATGACTTTTTCAGGATTTTTTTCAGAAAATTGATTTTTTTAGAAAATTTGGCACAGTTTTTCTGCAGTAAAACCTAGAAATATTTCTTATGCTTCTTTTACACATTTGTGCAGTTTTTTAATAATTTTTAATGAGCTTATATACTATTAGGAAACGCTTATTAGTAACATTTCGCTTACTTTAGGGTTGTTTAAATGAGAGAAATCAAGTGCTACTTTGACATATTTTCTAGAGGAAATTTAGATGTCGGATTTTAAGTCAGCAACAGGTGTTCGTCTTAGGTATGTTTTATTGTTATATATTGAAGTTAGTTAGTCCTTACTGTGTTTAGGTTAAGAGAACAGTTGCTTTCTATCTTGAGTCTTGAATTGTTTTTGCGTGGCAAATACTGTTTTTTTAAAGGGTGGATTGAAAAATGACGACTGCTTGATACAAGCCTCTGAGACGCTCACCTGTTTTAGCTTTATATACTCCGTTTCTGGACAGCTTTCTAGCTCTTTTTTATCTTTGGAGAATTTCAAAATTTATGACCGCAGATTGCTGCAGGAAACTTAAAGCCTTTCCAATAAAAGAAAATACCGGCACTCATTTAAATATTTTACCATATTGAGCGACTTAATTTTTATAGCAGTAGGAAACTTAAGGCAGTGTTAGTGTTGATTGGCGAGGGAAGACTGAAACAAACTCCTATTCTTTTTACGTCGCCTAAAAACATATAGATGTATTTCTTGATAGAAAGTGTTGTGGAATTACTTGTCGTACTGACGGCTATTACTAGAAAAGTGTTTTTGAATAATTTACCTGTTCCTTATTATACATCAGTTTTTCCGAAAAGGAAAACGAAATTGATTTTTTTGTTTTTTTCTGTCAGAGAGTTGATTTTCGCGTCTTATTCTAGTCGCACGTAAGGCGTTAGTAAGGTACTTTAACCGTTTTTTTGCCAATTAGTTTTATCATAGTTTTATCATCTTTTTTTAATGGTTAAGGACTTACTGTTCAAATTTTCGCTCTCATGCTCGTTAATTTTTCACATCCAAGCGAGTTGGCTTAGCTGTCATTTTCAGAGTCATTAATAAATATTTATATAAAAACTGCACTTTTACTAGGTTTAAATGGCCTAATTAAATGAAGCGTCAGTGAGATTCAGATGGCTTTTTCCAAGATTTTCATATGGTAACTTTTTTTTGAGTAATGACTTCACATTCCCATTTGTAGAAAATTTATAATCTATCTGGGTGGATCAGGTACAGGCACAGTATTAACCCTCATTTACCATACAAAGAGTTGCAGGTGAATTAAATTGAAAAATTATGGTACACCATTCTAATTAGCGACTAATTTCAACAGTTTTTATGGTTTTTTTCTCATCTTTTTTAGGCGGAGGAGGGTTTTCCAGATTCGTGAGTAACTAACATTTGTGTCTCACATATTGTTATTGCTGCTTTTTGCGAACGCCAACTGGATATTGACTTTTTTTTAGGCGTTCTTTTAATTGTGCACTTTAATTGTTTTTTTGTTTATTTAACTTAGACTTGCTTCGTTTAGCTTAATGTTTGGTTGTCGTAAAATTAAACATTGCTCTATTGCTTTTTTTTTTTGATATACAACATTTGTAGTAACTGTTTTCCGTCACAGTTACTTTCTCAGCTGTAATTGGTAGGACTAATTTATTTTATACTGTCTGCCCTTTGTGGAATTTCATTGTGCTATTTCTAGATAGTCGTTTTACGAAGTATTTCTTGGCCAGTTAGCTTACAGGTCAAAGGAAGGTACGCATTGGCATAGATATTCATGAGAACCATTTAATACGGTATTTGGTGTTAGTTTATCGACGGATTTAATTGATGTATCATTATACGCTTTGTAACTTAACTAAAAGTAATTTTCTTAACCGGTACTGTGTAAGTGATTTCAAACTACTTAGCATTTAGTTACTGACGGTTGTGACGGTTGCTTGTACTGTCATTTTTCATATAAATGAATGTTTCGAAATGCTTTTTGGTGCATCAAAATCAGTATTTGATTGTTAACAATTTCTAGTCACATTTTATTCTTTCAGCCTTGTGCAACAATGCATCTCAGTAGTAACTTTCTATATTCTTTTTTAGTATCCAGTTGTGATTTGTAACTGCTCTGTATTTTTGCTACTTTGTCACGCTGTTTTGCTGTCTGTAGCTGCATGCATGCTAAGGTTTAGTAAAATGTCACTCTTTATGTGTAGAATTTTTTTTAAACACTGTATGAATAATTTTGATTATAGCTTTGTTTTGTAAAAAGCTAAAGTTCAGCTGAAGAGTTTAATAAGCAATATTAAATTAATACAGGTATTTGCTATTGATGGTAAATTATAGGCTGTTTAGGGCTGTTTAACGTCTTCACCAAAGCAGTTCTTCCAAATGTTCGTAACTGTGGCTGGTCATTTTTTGATTAGTTTTCCATAGATGCCCGCACATATGGCAGGGATAAGCTAAAAAAAACATGGTTTTTTATACAAGGGTAGTACTTTTCTTAAATGTAAAATTTATTGCTGTCAGGAGATAAAAGTGGAGTGGGTCAAGAGGTCAAGCTGGAAGTTATGAGCTGTAGCTTACGAGAACTATGCTGGATCCGATTGCAAGCCAGGCAGCACTGTACATTACGGCGAGTAAATCAGTTCTCAGCGGTACAAAACAGGTACCTGTGTAGATTAGAGTTTTATTTGGATTTTGCATGTCTACTGCTAAACAGCTATTAATATCTTCTGTCGCACAGCTAAAAATCAATTCCATTACAAATAGCTAGATTTTTTTTGAAGATGAGGTTAGAAAACAGGGCAAGTAGATAGTCCTCCATGGAAAAATGCTGTTGAAAAGTTGTAGATTTTAGCTAAAATCAGAAAGTATATTGTTTACAGAAAGTTTTTTTTTATCAGCTAGATGGAAGAAGAAAGAAAAAGAATAAAATGAATGTTGAGACCAAGAGATTGGGAACATCTTTTTTGGTTCTCTTTGCCGCATGTGCCATTTTGAAGTTTTCCATACACGGTAGTCGTCTGTACCATCAACTCCACAGCATTTGAACTAAAATTTCTGTTCGGTAATTTTTTTAGGTGAAACTTTTTCTAAAAGTATAATATTCCAGCTCCTTCTGAAACGCACAGGAAGGATCATAAGGAGCTAGCAGGTACAGTACTAAGAAAAGTAAAAAGAAATTTGGTTACGTTGGTTTGTAGTTCATCCCAAGCATTGGTTATACCGTCCATTTCCCGTGTTCCATACAGTTCTCTTAGCGAAGTTAACATTTTCAGATTTAGCGGTATTTGATGCATCAACTGAAGTTCCAACAAGCTATCAGATTACTGTTTGCGCAACTCGGTTGCAGTTAAATAATATTTTTGAAAAAGCGCAATTTTTACTTCTCATAAATTATTAAGACAGTGAGGCTTAAAGTAGGTTTTGTCTTGAACAGTAAAAAAAAGTAATAGTTGATGTTGAGAAGTTCAAAGTGTTGCAGACCTGTTGTCGAAATACGAAACCCATGATACCGCCGATGAAAAGCATAACAAATATAACAAAACTGGAGGTAACATACTGAAATTAAGTAAACGATTCAAACTATGTAAAATTTTTATCTTAATATTATCTACTAAATAGCTAACGAACGACAGCTTGACGAAAAAAATGTTTTATCAAATTGAGAACTATGACAATAGTTGTAAAAAGAAATTACCGAATAGATCATGCATCTTAATTCTTTGACAATTGCCCATATAGAAATGGCAGCATTAATGATAGCAAATATTGAGATAACAATCATTATACGGGCTACATCCACGTATAAACTGGGGCTGAGTAATTCAGCATACTGTGCTCGATTCCTTACCAACCATACACCATATCCGCAGGTTGCGATGGATAACAACTGATTGAAACAGTGGAATTCAATATGGATAACTGATTTTTACAAAAGTAATTTTAAAAAAGTTTTTTTTTTTTTCAAAATGTTTTTGACAATAGGATTTTACAGTTACGAGTTTAAAAGTTTTATTGCATTTGATCGTTTCGATAAACTAAACTTTTCTATCGGTTTTTTTAAATTTCTTAAGATTTCTTCAGTTTGTTTTATGGTATATAATGATCAACTAACTATGGAAAATAGTTGAGTGGAGAAATATAGAAGTCGAATTGTTTTTCCAAAACCACCGTATGCACTCCAACGGCCAAATGCAGCCATTTTTTGCTAGCTTTATCACAGTCGTATGGCGTCAGAATAGCTAGTCAAATTTCCACTTCTTTTCAATTTTGTTTTTTTTTTTTTGCAAATTATTTCTGACTTACAAATGACTGATTTAGAATAAGACGAAGATAAATTTGTACAGAAAAAAAAAAAACAAAAAAAAATCAGTGGTTCATGACAAGACTGCCGTAAGTTGGTTCCTGCAAAAATATGTAAAACTTTAGCGGTTCGCCAGTTCTTTTTTTAACTGAAGAAGAGTCAATCAATACGGTACGAAACATACACAACACATGGATAGTTCTATGAATAAAACTAGTTACGGGCAATACTTTTACCACCGGAAGACCATTTTTAGTGATAGATATTTTCAAGAAGTACCAATATTATAATATTCTTTCCGGAACTTCCTCGAAATTTTGTTTCATTTTTTGAGAGAAAATTTTTGAAAAGTCTAAGGACGAGAAAAAAATCATTTCTGGATTCCATCAAAGTTCAGAGCTTCTTTTTTCGTTTAGCATGAGAGTCAGTTTTAGGCTTACGATTAGCACTGGCCTCAGGCCTAGATTCAAAAGAAAATTAAGCCTAGGTTTGAGCTAAAATTAAGCTTAGGCCTAACGTCAGCACTAGGGTTAGAATTAAGTTAAATTTAGGCTTATTGCTGCTATTAAGCGTAGGCTTGAGTTAGATCTAGAAATAGCCGCATTGTTAAGAGTAACCATATGTGCGGTCTACGGTGCAGATGGGTGTGTTGCGGTTAGGGAAAAGATAAAATCTTAGGCTTTTTCTTGGATTTAGGATTGGGATTGGGATTTGTCAGGAGTTGAAAACTTACGCGTAGGACTCCGTTTAAGGCCAAACTTAATATTACGGTTAAATTCAAAAATAAGATTTTGGACTACTCTTATGTTATGTATAGTTCAGTGTGCAATCTGTTACAATACGAAGATGTTTAACGCATTGAAGAGTGCTGTTTTTTGAAAGGTTGGAGTAAGAAGACCTGAAGTGTACGTTGTCTGTCAGTAACTCTAGGTTGTTAAACAGATAATTACCATTTTCTGCTGAACAGAATTCAAAAACGAAATTAACCGTATTTTTTTGGTTAGTCCGTTATGAAAACAGTGCCGGTGGAAGCTTCAAAGAGTGCACTTAAAGAACAGGAAAATGTTTCTTTAGGGGCAAAGAAAAGTGGTGAAAACAAAAGGTGTGTAAAATGTACACAGTTATTTATATATATGTCAGTGCATTTCTATAGTACAATCCTTCAGCCATTTGTTGTTGGTGTGACTAGGCGCAAGAAAACTTAAAAAAGTCCATTTCTTACATGTTCACGATAAAATGTTCGTTGATCATAGAATATACTTAACGCTGTTGTTAGGGCATTCACAGTGCTACTCTAATAGATACTATGAAAATCGCCACTTGTAGTGCAAGTTGATCAAAAGGAAGCAAAACTTTAACAAATAAAGTCAAAAAATAACTGGTCGAAATGACCTGTATCCTATCCGATCAGGTGAGACGTTTATTGTTTGAAATTTTCTGACAAATTTAAGAACACTAAAAAAACCAACTGGAAAAAACCTGACAACATCGAATCTTCCAGCTGTGAAGGGAAATAATAGAAATAAAGTAAGGCAGAAGGACGAGAGAACTGGCAAAAAAAAAGTTGAGAGGAGAAAAAAGAAGCTTCAAAGAGCTTCACAGATACAATGAACAGACGTTCCTAAAAAGTTTGAAGAGCTTAAGCGAAGCACTGGTCTGGTGCTAACAGCGTTTGTTGTCCTTGGTATCCTGCCTATAGAACCTGTAGTTGTTCAACGGAAAATGTTGCTGTTTGTTTAGAAAGCAGAACGAAAAAAAAACAGGTATCGGTCATCTTGCTTCATCACATTTTCCTTCCGTCATTTTTACTGCTTCTTGACAGCAGTAACAACAGAAAGCAACGTGTTGAAGTAGATCAGTGAACAGGTAAGCCATATAATAATACTTTTTTTTTAGCACAACGAGATATTGGTTAATCTAACTAATAGTTAACAAAATTGATTAACTGCTGAAATAAACATGCGAAAAAAGAAAAAAAAAAAGTTGATAAAAGTATGCTGTAAATGAAGAATGAGATTTACAAAATAAAAAATTTGGTTACACAATTTTAAGACGATTGTAAAATAAAAACGACAAAAACAAAAGAAAATTTTAGCTGCATCAGTTAATACTGTTGTTTTCTTAGAACAGATTTTTGTTTGCCTTTCCTGATTATATATATATATTTATTAAGAGATGTTAGAAATCTGAAGTAAATTGGAAAATTTCAGGTATAATAAACAAAAAAAAATTTATAAATAACTTTCTTTCTTTCGCATTTATAAAAAGAGAACTTTCACTTTTCACTGCCTTGGTCATCCCTTAAACAAAGTCCATTCTTTCCTTTTGCAGAAATACAAGTTTTTTTTTGTTGGAAAGGGTCATAAAAAGTGAAACATTTGCCTACAGTTCAATGTTATTAGACACTATGTTGAAAGTCTGCGAAATTGTTGACTATGTTAAAATTAAGTATAATCTCGGTGACCATTTCAAAAAAAAAAAAAAAAAAAAAAAAAAAAAAAA